CAAGGCTCTATTTTAGGGCCACTATTCTTTCTGTTATACTGTATATTAATGATTTGCCTCAATGCCTATATAAAACCTCAGTTGTTTGCTGACGACACTAACCAGACAGCTTCTGGAGACTCTATTACTGTTCTTGAAGCTGAATTCTGATTTGGAAAATCTTAGCCTAAATGCAGCCAAGACTGAGTTTATGTTAATTGGTTCTTAACAATTGTTTAAAATATTTCAAATTTGCAACTAAATGTTAAAATTGAAAACTAATCAATTAAATTAAACAAGTGAAAATTAACCAGCATTTATCTTGGAGGAGTAACACTGAGAACATTTGCAAGAAAATAACATCCGGAATGTCGGCTCTTAGACGCCTACAGTAAATTAATTCGGAATTTACTAATAAAAGCCCCTACTTTCTGTGTACAGTATAATGCATATATTGTTCGCCCATATTGTTCACATATAAAGATGAGGTGACAAACTAAGGGACATTTCAAATAGCCTTTGTTCACCACGAACACGTACTAATAATATGAAAAAAGTTTTATGTATGATGGAGCACACCTTTGGAATTCTATTCCAAAAGAAATCAGAGAGAGCCAATCCCTTTCTTCCTGTCCAAAGAAAATCGCTACTCACATTGATTGATAGCTAATGTAAGTATACAGTAGATCTACCTGTAAATAGATTATCATACTAGTTAATTACGTTATATACTGTAATACTATATATCTTATATAATTTTGTAAATAGGTTTTAAAATTCTTTATGCATGTATGTATACTTTTGTACTCGCCCCTCGTGGAAATCAACTTCGGTTGACGGGGTCAGCGTGTTTAAATAAAGTTTTCTATCTAATAGTATCTATATGAAAGATGTGTTTTGCACTTGCAGTTGCAGTGCTTGTGGGTGTGGGGGTGAGAGAGAAAGGAATGTGGGCATGAGATTGACTACGTACAGGTACCTGCCTAGCTCGCTCCCGACAATGGCCCACATACCCAGACTTAGCCTGCGAACAGGCGTTTATTCAGGTGATACGAGGCCCACCTGAATAAACGCCTGTTCGCAGGCTAATCCAGACTGCAATGCTGGACATGATCACGCATGTGGAATGTTCAATTTATGTGTTCTGGACAACAGTTTAGGGCGCTTTCCATTAACACGGCCAGACCGGTCAGAACGGTGAAATTGTTGAATGAAACACATAAGATTTGGGCTTCGAACCTATCTGACCGAAAATTTTAGATAACATTAGAATGAGGTCCATTTTCGCTAGATATGTGAGAAACATAGACCAGATCTTTCCATTGATACAGAGAAAAGATTTTGGGTCTGACCGGTCAGGCCATTAAATGGAAAGCGCCCTTAGACTTTAAAATACAAATTAATCTTTTCTGTGCTGGTTTTTGTATCTGCACAGCAGATATTATTTTCAGATAATGCCATCGTCTTGTTAGCTGTTAACTGTGAACTTGTAGCCAATCAGCAACTCAATATGGCTGCAATCGATGGAGTGAATGTGTTTTGATATTGCAAAATTTATGAATACTGTTGAAAGTGGCAATAACAATCTTGTATTTCCACGTTTTAATTTGCATCATAACAGTATTTATTTGACTACAATGAATATTTAAATCTTTTTAGCCAATTAGAGTATTAATAAGATAAGGAATATACAAGATACTACTTTTTATTTCTTACTGTACATACGAGATATTACTGTATTAAATTAGTTCAATGTGTAAACATGTCACGTGTAATTTATGGCAGAGTAGTTAAGAACTTTATTTTCAGCAGAAGTTAGCATGAATGATAAGACGTGGCATCACCAAAGTCTAAACGTATTAGTGTAATTTTTAATATTTTGGTAATATTTTCCATCATACTTATCATATGGCCCGCAGGCAATCACATGCATAAATATTTTAATTATTTAAAAGTTCCTAGATAAATAAGTAAATATTTCTAACATTTGGTAACCAGCTTTACTTTTTTATTCAAACAATATTCGCCAATACAGCACATTTGCCAATATACCTGTACCACACATGACTTCTAGATTTTCAATGTACAGTGTTTGTCATTGCTCTTTTATTGACAAAATCTCTTGCATTGGATGCTCTTTCCTTAAGACGTTTCTTGCAAAGATTTCTATCTGATAGATACCGGATTCTAAAGTTTTATCTACCTTAATTGTCTCCTTATTTAAACATTGTGGAGCAATTTTTGATGAGAGACGAAATTCCGAAACTGCTAAGTTATTTGGGAGTACAAGTCATTTTGCCACGGGAACTAAAGAAAATTCTAAAACCCAGAGCTGCAGTTAGGACTCGTAGTAAACCAGTCCTCATTAGACGAAAATATGTCCCAGAAGAGTTTCCTTAGATTGGACCAGCTTCTCTGTTATAACTGGATGATATGTATTAAAGATGAGCAAATAACTGTTGAGGAATCCCACGCTATGATGAAAAGTGGCAAAAAGTTGTTCAAATTCAAAGACTGCAGAAGAAACGAAGAATATTCTTAGTTCTGTCAATAAACAACTACCTGTATTGTCTGGCATTGATTTGTTAAAGGAGAGGCTGAGAGAAAATTCAGTGTTCATGTTGTATTTGGAGGTGGAGGAAGTTTTCAAGAAAAAGTTGAAAGTCACAGATCACATAATTCCTTCTACGTTGAATCCAGAAAACATTAAAAATGACATGCGTTCGGGGTGAATGCCTCTCGTTAGCGAACTGGCTAGGAACATGGCAACTACATGTACACAATGATTGCATAACAGCTACATGGCGGCCAGTTACAGGTTTTTGCCCGAGTTGGACCTATGTATATATGGTACGACCCTGTAATAATGCTTTGCGTGGTGTATCAAAACAGATACTACCTATTATGCAACAATAACTCCATTAATAATAATTTCAACAACTACAACAACAGTAGCCACAGCAACAACAGTGAAACAGTGGTCATGTATATGAGCAGATGTGTAGACAGTTGTGCACTGGTGTACATATGACATACAATTGTTTACAAGGAATTGGAGTTCACAAAGTTGGACTGAATAGATTACTAATTAATCCATTGAGCACCTGCAGCCCTCTTTAAAGCCTAGTTTCCATTTGGTCCTTAGTTGTCGCTGGCATGACAAGTGGCTGATGTAATAGAGTGTCAACAAAACTTTACAAAACTCTGCAATCATTAAGACTGATTTGCATATCACACAAAAAGACTATTATTATATTAGACTATTTCACATCTACCGCTTGTCGTGCCAGCGACAACTAACGACCAAATGGAAACTAGGCTTTAGTTAAAATTGTTTGGTGTATGCTAGATAGAGTAAAATAATAAAGTAGGGTTCAATGTAACTTAATGAATTAACTAAACACCTGGGCAGATAGTCTGATTTGAGCACCAGCACTTTCCCCTTAATGAGTAAAATCATTAATGAGGAAAATTATCAGGCAACTCATAGGCTATAGACCCATTGCACTGACGTCACAAATCCTTAGAATGTCCTCCAGATGCTCCCTAACAATATCTGTTCGGGTACAACAACCGCATACAGCGCAAAAATTAACCATTTTAATACAAAATTATTATAAACTTTTACAAAATTTGCTTTGTTTACAAAAGTTATATTGTCCTCCAGATGCATCGTCACCGGCGCTGTGACGTCATGTGCAATGGGTCTATAGAACAAAACAATAGACACTCCGAAAATAGTTAACATTTTAATCAACGTTTCCACTAGTTTTCAGTCATCATCTGAAATTTCAACCGTAATTTCATAGGCTAGAACACCCAACCAAAACTCAAGAAAAATCAACTGTAATTTCATAGGCTAGAACACCCTAGAATCCTTTTGCAGTTCAGTAGTGCTCAGTAACTGACAGCAATTCTTTGTCTCATATTAACTGATCATGACAATTACAAAATGTATGTATTTTATTGGTATACAGTGTACATACAATAAAAGGATGTTTATAACAACAAGTATATAAGGAAATGCATCTCTGATCTGAGTTAGCATTATCAATTTTCCACCTCACTATTTTCAGTAATCCCAGGTCCCAAAGTTGGAATCTTCATGCTCAAATTAATCTTTGCCGAAAATGTCACTTGTTTAAATTAAACCGTTAGCTCGTGAGTTACAAGGTTATGAATATTTAGTTATTTGTATAACATTTGACTGTGTTGAAAATGTATACCCTCTGTGTCTGATGAACAGTAGTTTTTGACACAATCATGCACTGTGTTTTGGTTATATTATTATTATTATTAATATATTAAAAATTAAAGTCATAGATAAACAAATTCTCACAAATCACAATAAAGCGCACAGGCTATACAAATCACTGTCTCTGTTTTGCCAATATTACAATTACTTACGTTTTTACTCTGGCTCTGTTCACTGTTAAGCAATCACGTCATGCACTTGTCTAATTATTAATTAACTATGAAATATGTTATCAAATTTCTTATGTGTTCTGTCAGTTCCGATGACTGGAGGCTCATCTTCTCATGATTTAAAAACTCAGTCTGTAAATACAGGAAATACTATAAATGAGAACATGGGTAGAATTTGTTCAGAAAATCATATGTCAACGTCGATGAAATGCACACAACTTACTGTAGTCACCCAACCAACTGTGCGAAGCGCCATAAGATTCCGGGCATAAGCGATTTAAGGTATCCCAGTTTTTCAACATGGGTCATGTGAGTAGCTCTTACACGGCGGATCGCGGCGTGTAAACGTAACTTAATTAAATAATCTTATTTCTTTTTTATTGATATTTTGTAAAGAGCCCACTGTAATTGGTGTTAAGCTGTTGTGGTGTCCCAGCTTCTTTAATACAATTGTTGTATGATGTTTGGAAGCGAAGCACAATAAATAAATAAATAAATAAATAAAAGTAAAGATTGCTGTTATTAGGGAGAATTTACATGATAGTCCATGATTCCATGATTACAGGGTCCTGTTACAATGGCATACCATAGATCTTTACGAACCAGTTATATCCTATATATTTTAGGTTATTGAAAGGAAGGATTTGTTTGTAACATCAAAATTATGGAACACAAAACATGGTGCCAATGATGTTAGACCAGCATTTATGCAAACGTTAAAAGACTTGCAGCTAGATTATCTTGATCTGTATCTTATTCACTGGCCTATTGGGCTGAAATCAGGAGATAATCCTTTCCCTAAGAATGAAGATGGTACTCTGCAGTATAGTGATGTACACCCTCTTGAGTCTTGGCAGGAGATGGAGAAGTTAGTCGATGAAGGCTTAGTCAGATCTATTGGTAAAAAGTAGTTTTTAATAGATAGTCTTTCAAACATGGAGATCTATACATATATAGTATTCTGCTGCATAACAAGTTGCCATACTGTATAGTCGGTCTTAACCACCTGAAAAGAGTATATTAATTAAGCAGATTTGAAAACAATGCCATTGTCCGTTAGAAGCTGGTTTACCTTCCGCTTTTACCGCCAACCACCAAGTTACTGGAAACGTCAACCACCAAGTTACGGAAGGAATATGAATTGAAAATTTTCCAAAATATATTATTTTTTTATTAAAACAAAAAGGAAGTGAGTTTAATGAAAGTGACAGAGACTATACTTCTCTAGATTTAATTTAATCATTATACGTGTCACGTTTTAGGGGAGTTACTATTGTTAGACTTTTGTGATTCTGTATTCTTTTGTATGTTAAACTTAAATCCTAACCCTTACTCTAACCCTAATCTGAATCATAACCCTTATCTGAATCCTAATCCTAACCCTTTTCCTAATCTAAACCCTAATCCTAAACCTAAAAGACTAAAAATAGTAACTCCCCTAAAATGCGACTCATATGTCAATCAATGTTCATTTAATTGGAGTTACTGTTGTTTTGTATTTCAGCAACCAACAACATTATAATTTATCTATACGCTGCCCTGGTTTTTACAAACAAATTAAGCTGATGGCAACCTCGTACCCAGGATCTTTCCTCTTGGCGAGGGGAGAATAGACCCTGGTAGACGCTGGTCACGTGATCTGCTAAAATCTAGCAGATTTTTAATTAGCAATCCAAGATGAGGTCAATAAATATTTGATATTTGGATGATTTTTATAATTTAATTTATAATTTGCATTTTATATGATTGTCGTGAAGGAATCCATAGTTAATGGAATAGATGGTTTGGAAACTCGTTAGAATAACAATATAACTCATTGTCTATTTTAGTCAACGTTTATTCATAATATTTTCCTTCACCGTCACGTGTGTATTGTATTTTTGCCAAATCAACCAATAGAAATTTCCAATTTACCCTATTGTTCGAGTCAACTTTCCTAAAACATTTCTATTGGTTAGTTGGGCAAAAATACAATACACACGTGACGGTGAAGGACCAGATTTATGAATAAACGTTGACTAACATAGATAATGAGTTATATTGTTATTCTAATGAGTTTCCAAACAATCTATTCTACTAACTATGAGGAATCCAAGATAGTTAATTAGAAACCTGCTAGATTTTAGCAGATCACGTGACCAGTATCTACCAGGGTCTTTTCTCCCCAAGAGGAAAGACCTGGATACGAGGTTGGGCTGATGGTAGTGAAAAGTTTGTTAATTAAAAGACTCGAATCCCTTCTTATGATTTTTATAAATAATGTTGGATAATTTTGATTTTAGGATTATCCAATTTCAATAGCAAGCAGGTTACAGAAATAACTTCCAAAGGAAGAATTAAACCGTCCGTTCTTCAGGTGGAATGTCACCCCTACCTCAACCAGAAAGATCTTATTAACTTTTGTAATGAGAATGGAATTTTGGGTAGGCATAAATTATGTCAACTTTTGAGTATAGACAAAATTTAATAGTTGTACATGTACATGCAATGAAAATAACTAAATATGATTCAATACAGTACACATTTATACATAGCATTTTATAGAGTAGTTATGTGTAACCATATATACAGTAAGCATGCAATTAGCATACGTAACAAAATAATTATTCTTATTGATAAGAATAGCCATGAAGCTCCGAAAACTGAACTATAATTTCACAGATGCCTCCATATCTGATATTTATACTTGTGTCAAAGTCTACACATCCTGTCAATATGGTGCTTTCTTCACAAAATGCACAATACTTTCACTTATTGGCCCTACTTCATGGAGTTTTGGGAAGTTGGATAGGGATTAACGCAGACAATGCAACAAGTGTAGTGCGTGACTGTCATGTTTATCTGTTGATATGGATACATTGATATGGAACATTCATTATGTTGCATTTATATAATATTTGAAAATAGTCAGATTTAGTATATGACACCGGACGAATTCGGAAACCTCCGGTTGCATTTATTCACGCGTGAATTGGTGCGACTTGCTGTGCTTAAATTTTTGGGACTGACTTTATTTTAATTTCGCTTATTTCATTATCAGTAACTATAAAACGGCTAGACGCCATTTTGCAAATTTCGGTTTTGATTCACCAGCTTAATACGTCAAATTTGACCAATCAACTTGTGGGATTTGTTATATTCACTTGTGCAAAATTACTAATTTGTTTTAGTAACGGCCTTCAGTCCACTTGGATCACCAGATCGTCCCTGGGCTAAGCCTGGAGATCCGCTCTTATTGGAGGACAATGAAATTGTTGGAATTGCGAAGAAATACAAAAAAACTGCTGCTCAAGTTTGCATCAGATTTCAAATAGAGCGAGAACTCTCTGTGATTCCTAAAAGTACTACAGCTCACAGAATTAAAGAGAATAGCGAGGTACTGTACGATTGCTGTTGCACTATTTTATCCTCACATAATTCACGTCGTCAGCTCACTCCAGTTTGCGTCAGTCAAATCATAAATTGTACTATGCGAGGCTATACAATCACGTACATATACTATAGTCATCACTATTTGACTAATGTTATTTTACTTTCATCCTGTTTAAATGTTCCTGTGCAAGGAAAACAGAGAACCATGAGGAGTAAAACCCATGACACTGATTAATTGGTAGGGCATGCATTGGTAGTGCATTTACTGAGTGGTGCATGTCTGCAGTTCAGTGCTGCTCAGAAGACCACCAATTGGACGAAGGTTTTCTAAAGAAATAGCAAAGAACAAAGAAAATTTAATTGTTCGGAACACAAACCAATCGTCAAATAGTGAAAATCACTGTACCGGGAAGGTGCGAGAAGAAAGTCTATTGTGCATACACAATTTTGAAATAGATTGTCGAGGTCATTAGATTTTATTATTAAAAGAAAGCCATGCCAGTTCGTAATACTCACTAACTATATACTACTGAATTGAGATTGGAAGTATAACTGAAAGCAATCGCAACTCTATGCTAAAACGATTTTCAAACCCACCTTGCGTATAAATTTTCCCTTCACTTTTCTTTTGTATCCTGTAAATAACGTGTCTATTTAACTTTAGGTATTTGACTTTAGTTTGTCATCTGAAGATATGAAGATAATCGAGTCTTTTCATAGACCATGGAGAGCCTGTATTCCAATGACAGAGGTAACTACCAAAAATGCAGTTAAATCATTTTTATGATCAGGTGCACTATTCCTATGAACTAAAAGGCTGGAATAGACGGAATACTACTATACGTTGGAAACCAAAATTCACATCCCCAATATTTCAAACTGTCCGTGTGCTTATAAATTGAAAATTGAAATTCCTTACCAATTATGTGAATCAAGATCTTGAACGACGTGAATATCCTGAAAAAGACAGTCACATTACACTTAATGTCTACAGGAATAAGTAGTATATTTTCCCATTTAAGATCATGTTACACGAGATAAATTTTATTGGTACCTCGCTTAGGCAGTACAATTTCTGACAAAAGGGTCATATGCATGGTTATGTAAAAAGTATTCGGAGAGAAATTGTGAGCATAAACCACATTTTACTCCGACGACGTTTTCTTTACATAAGGGACAAAATCATAATAAAATTTGGGGAAATACAAGATTTATGCGTATTTGCTTATATTTTCATTCAAAATATTGTATTTAAATGTAATTTCACTGTTTTAACATTCTATAACAACACTTTATTGTGTGATCGTTCAAGAAAAAACCAATGGGAAGTAAGGTATCATATTGCTGATTATGCTGAAAAATTTCAATAAAAACTACCGAAACAACCGAAATATTTCAATATTTACAAGTATAAGCTATCACTCCGTGTTTACACGGCCATCATTTTTATTGTTTCAGTATAATCAGCAATGTGATACCTTACTTCCCATCGTCCCCTGCACGCATAAACTAAAAGCTGGAATTGCCCATTGAATGGGTGTAGTAATGTAAAAACCCCGTTTGCCACTAGCTATAACAATTTTAGTCAAACTTTTTGTTAAAATTACACCATACATTAATATTTACTTGTTTTTAGTTATATATGCATGCAGTGAAACCTGTATTAGGCGACCACTCTCGGGGAATGTGAAACACCCTAGAAGTGGGTATTGTTTCAGAGAAGTGACACAAATAATGATGACATGGATGATTTATAAATTTAAGATAGGGTTTTTTTTTTATTATATGCTTACCTTTCCCAGATAGTTGTGATTAGTATGGAAACAGGGTAATACTGCTAACGAATGTTAAACTTTTTAAAGTTGACCCCACCCCCCTTTGTGCTTTGAATTTTTGGAGAAGCCCCCCCTGCCCTTTCAATGTCCACCAGCCTACCCCCCATGCCTGTGAAAAATGAACGGTCCCTAACCCATCCAACAAAGAAATGAATAAGAATGAGAAATATCGCGAGATTTTCCGTGAATATTTTTCTACATAACATGACTCGTGTCATAAATTGCGATGCCAGTCGCAGCAAATTAAATTTCCACGTCAGGTAACATGTCCTTAGGGGCGGACCATTAGAAAAGTGATTGGGGAGGGGGGAGGAATTGTTTTGCAGAATTTTAAAGGTATTTTTTTCTTAGCTTTCCTTTTCCACTGCTCGCCATTACTTTTCCATGCAGTGGCCCGCCCCTTAATAAGTTTTTGTGATTTTCTTCCAGATTGATGGCAAGCAAGTGCCACGTGATGCGCATCATCCTCATTTCCCGTTCCATGAACCTTTTTAGAAAGCAGATAATTTGATAGTATTGGGTTTATAAACCTGTTAGAACATGAAGCATGCATGTATTCTGGCGTTTCAATTTTGTGACAATTTACAAAATTAACTAAATAGGCCATACAAGCATATTATATAAACAAATACTAAATAAAACTTGATTATAGTGTGAAAGAAAGTGTATGAAATAACCAGCCATATTTTGAATTTTTATAGATATATAGCGAAAACTTTTGAATATTCAAAACAAGTAATCATGCATGATGCATGTATTTGTTTGGTAATTCTATTTGCCATAGTTTAACTGTGCATTGATCCTGCCAAATTAATCTCTCAAAGTTTTTTATTACATTAATTTAGTTATAGGTGGATGTGTCTACCTTGCGGTTCGAAATATGCCAAAGTATATAGGGAGGGGGTAGAGGGCTACCAACCTGGTTCCCATGATCTCCCGCCAGGCAAGGAACGACTGAGACAAAATTTGTTTGGTTTGGTTTTAACATTTGTTTGGTTTGACGAAAATTTGTTTGGTTTGACTGAAAAAAAACCCAAAAAACCTCCAACAAATCCACGTTGTCTACAACTTCCAGCACGAATAGCCTTGACATGTGTAGTTGCCCGAAAAACAATAAAGAACTGTGCCCACTGTCTAACAAATGTACCAACGGATCTGTTGTGTATCACGCCACAGTCACTATTAAGGTTACTTCACATGATGAACGTGCATTTTAGTCTATTGAACATGGCGCAACGAACCTCAACGTTTGTCTACATATCCCGATTTGAATCTTCGCAGGTATGGTAAAAAAAAAACGTGACTGTGCGGAAAATTTCTCTTCAATGGTTTTTCTGATATGACGTTTTCTTTGACAACTTCGTGAATTATCAGTGAGATGGAAATCCAAGAATCAGGGCATATCAGAAAAACCACTAAAGAAGAGAAATTTTCTGCACACGTTTTTTTTTTACCGTGCCTATGAAGATTCGAATTGCGATATCTAGACAAACGTTGAGGTAAACTATAAACATATTTTGATCTTTTGAAGGTAGTAGGTACCTATATATTTATATATTTTCGAAATCAGCAATTTGCCTGGCTTTCTTCATTTGGTAAAGTTACACCTAAAATCATAGATATCTTATATACACTATAGATAGCGCATCTCTTTTAGTAAAATTGAAGTCAAGAATGTTCCAACGGTTACCCCCATTTGAATACACAGCAAAAAACGCCAGCCTGTATAACAATGTTGTTGAAAACAGGCTTGAACAATGTTTTGCTGCCCACGTTGTTCACACTTGTCAACAATATTGAACAATATTGTTGAGCCTGAATCGGGTGTAACAATATTATTCAATATTGTTGACAATTGTGAACAATATGGGCAGCAAAACGTTGTTCAAGCATGTTTTCAACAAATGGCGTTTTTGCTGTGTAGATGGCGGTCGTGTTGGCAGTTCCCACTCGCTAATAAACGCAACTAAAAAACAACAATAACTTTCATCATTTGAATAGTTTAAAAATGCATTTGGAATAGGTTTAACTTAATGTTTAAGTTCCCTGTTTCAGAAATAGAAAACATATACGAATCTTCCCATTTCATGGGAATATCCTGAGTCTGCAATCACGGCTTCAATTGCAGAATAATTAGATGCACTATCTAGTGTATATAAGATATCTACGCCTAAAATTCGTTGCGCAATGTGCAATAGACTAAACGCACGTTCGTCGTGTGAAGTAACCTTAAGGCCCTATTACACGGTGCAATTTTTCATGCAACTTGTCTCACAATATTTAAAAAAAGATTTTGATAATGCATTGCAGGAGGTGTTACACGCTGCAATGATTTTCATGCAACTCGCAACGATAGGGGACAGAGGCGAGGACAGAGGCATGCGAAGAGACTAGGGAGAGGCACTATTTGGCGCCAAATTTTAATTAATGTAAAGCGTGTACTGGGGTGAGCCAATAGGAACTCTCCAAGCTATAAATATTGCGAGACAAGTTGCACGAAGCATGCATGTTAGGCTACATGCTGCAATGCTAGAAATAATTAGTGCAATCGTTGCCAAAAGTAGAACCGACTTCTGCTCTGTGGAAGGCTTCATGCAACTTGTCTCGCAACGATTTTGACCATTGCAAGGCATGTTAAACGGTGCAATGACTCGTGCAACTCGTCTCGCAACGCCATTGCGAGACAAGTTGCATGGAAAATTGCACCGTGTAACAGGGCTTTAAGAACCAAACTACAAATAGACCTCCCCAAACATATGTCGGACTTATAGAGAAAACTCGTTCAAAACAAGACTTGCAAACCACAAAACATCATTCAACTCTTTCGACAAACGGAACGCTACTGAACTAAGCAAATACGTGTGGGAACTGAAAAATCAAAACATTGATTATATAATTAATTGGAAACTATTGAAAGAGGCTAAGCCTTATAATTGTGCATTGTGCTACAAATCGATGTAATTTGTGTTTATGGGAGAAATACTTTATTATTTGTAAGCCAAAAATGGCCACTCAGTTAAACAAACGAAATGAGTTTGTATCTGCATGTATCAGCATAACAAAAATTTCTTTTAATTAAGTAACATTTAAAGGCTAGCTATAGACATTCAATTAGATATACCGCGGTGTATTAATCATTCCGCATCATGTCAGCTTATCACATAACCTGTTGATTAAGTCGCGTGCTTTGTAAATAGGATTGTATATATATATATATATATATATATATATATATATATATATATATATATATATATATATATATATATATATATATATATATATATATATATAGCTATATACATTTGCATTTTATAATAATTAAAATAGTACTGATTAGTGATTATTACCTCCGCCAGGAGGTTATGTAATCATCTGGGTTTGTATGTGTGTGTGTGTGTGTGTATGTGTGTGTGTATGTGTGTGTGTGTGTGTGTATGTGTGTGTGTGTGTATGTGTGTGTGTTTGTCTGTGAGCACGATAACTCAAGAAATACCAAACATATCCGTACGAAATTTTGTGAGTGCATTTCCCATCGGCTAAGGAAGAACTGATTAAGATTTGGTTGAATTTGGTTAAAAATTGAATGAGAAATAACAAAAGTTTGTCTTGCTTTTCCCGGTCAATTAAATAAAACTTTATACTGAATGCGTAATTAGGACGTGCATAATATATGCACCAGCCATTCAAATTCTAATAACAATAGATTACTTCAATATTTTGCGCGTAGGCGGAGGTATGCAGTCTCTGAGTGCCCTCTAGTT